CTCTATTCCTATCTCATGTTTCTTTTTCTTCTCATTGGTCTTTTCATACTTGAAGTAATTTGTTTGTCATCCACTGATTCTTCTCTTTTGTTTTGGCCACAGATAACACTTTTCTGCATTCCTTTTTTACCATTGCCCTAGCTTCTGTCCATAGTTCATCTGGTTACCAGTCAATTATGCTTAATAGTGCAAATCTATTTTTCACATTCTCTTTAAATTCTTCTGGTATCCTCTTTTGACATGATGGTTAGTTTAGTGTTCTTATTTAGCTTTATTCTAATTTTTGATATTAGTAGTTCATGGTCTGTGCTGCAGTCTGTGCCTAGTCTCTCAGAGGGAGAGAAGAACTGCTGACTTTATTTCCTTCCCCACCACCATTCTTTTCTTCTTTTGTGTCATATCTTTTTAGATTGTAAGCCTGAGGGCAGGGAACTGTCTAATTTAACCATTTGTAAGCCATTCTGAGAGCCTTTATGGCTGAAGAGTGGGGTATAAATACTTCAAATAAATAAATAAATAAATAGTCTCATTTTTGCACAAAAATAGAACTTCTAAATTATGTAATTTATCTGATTTTTGTATTGACATCAGGTGACACCTATGTGTAAAGTTTTCTCTTTAGTTGTGTGAAGACGTTATTTGCAATGAATAGATCATTGGCCTTGAAAAACTCATACTCTATCTTCTGCTTCATTTCTTGATCCTAGTCCAAATTTTCCTACAATCTTTGATGCTTCTCTGCTTCCTAATTTTGCATTCCAATTGCTGATGAGTAACACCTGTTTTGTTGTGTTATAAATTTCTTCCTGGACTACAGCATAGAATCTCTCAATTTCTTCTTCCTCTGCCTCTGTGGTTGACATGACATCCATAGACATGGATGAAGATATTGTTAAAGAGTTTTTCCTTAAGTCTTATTGACACAATTCAATCTGATTTTGCATTATATTCTTTGACTGATTTTACTACATCTCTCCTCACTATTAATACCACCCCATTTCTTCTTGTCTTTTCATTTTCTGAGTAGAACACTGTGTAATTATATAACTAGAAATATATATATCCATTCCTGTCCATTTTAGCTCATTCAGCCCAAGTATTGCTGTCTTTATACTTTCCATGTCTTGTTTTACTATGTCTAGCTTCCTTTTATTCATGCTTCAAAAATTCCATATTCCTATAATATGGTAGTATAGCTTTGAACATTTTTTTGTTTTGTTTTTGAGCATGTCTACAACTTCCATTTTGTTTGAGTCCCATTGTGTTCCTGGCCTCATCCCTTTCTGTAATTGCCATTTTAGCACTTTGTTTGTATCCTATTCCTGTCTCTTGTTTATTTTGGATTGGCTCATCATAGAGTTTTCATGGTCAGAGGTTCTAGCAAGCGGATTCACCATTGGTTCCCTCTTTGTAGTACTAATATGGGCTAGTTATGGTGTCACTACTGTTGTCTATGAAAGATACTCCATCAGTGTCACCTACCACTACTGTTTCTGCCCAGTAGCTGATTGACTGCCAGGTACATCAGCTTTAAAATGAATCCTATATCATTGATTGCTGTCACACATTTTTTACAGTAATTCAACTTAACATCAGTTTCATAGCTGTTCCTAAGCCATTTGAAAGCCGTTCTTGAACCATTTCTTCTGAACCAGGTTATCAATTTGATCTCACGTTTTACTTCCTTGAAGACATGACACAGGGTCCACTTGGATTTCTTATCCTGGGTACTTCACCGTTTATGCTTCTAGAGACATGTGGATTGTGTGTGTGTGTTTTGTAAGAGAAAGTGAGAAGGAATGACTATAGCAATTATCTCACACCCTGCAGCTGTGCCAGAAGCTAACTTGAGGGAATATTCATCTGTTGGGGTTAATGTGAAATCTTGAGGCAGAAGGACCTGGAACATCTCAGTAGCAAGCAATGTAAATACAATACTGTATTTTCATGCTTGATCATATGAAGAGAAATTATCTTTTCCCCCAGTGTGACTTAGCGTGGTACAAATTTTTATTAAAAGTGGAGGAATACTCAGGGGGAATATTTTTCTGTAATTTATAGATTACTATCTGGTACTTATAGATCGTTGTCTACCAGCTCTAGCAGTACACTTTTATCATTTGTTATCATTCTGTAGCTTGATTATTTGCTTTTTAAAAGGTTGTTTACTAATAATTAACTGTAAAACTGGATATTCAAAAGGACTAGACAAATTCACAAAGTTTCTGGGCATCAGTATATATTCTCTGAAATGACTTCAGGTTTAAAGTCCTGCTCCCAGTCTCCAAGATTAATCTTTCTGGGTCCAGTATAAAATTGAGATGGAGGGTCAATGTTCATACTTTGCAAGATTTGAAGAACACAAGGGGTGAAAGCCTTCATCTTCTATCTCCTTCAAATGTATACTGAAATTCCTCCAAATCCTTAACAAAGCAAAACTCCTGCTGGCAAGAGTCTAAGTTTAGTCACTCTTCAAGTAAAGCTGAAGAAGACACAGATTTATCCTAGAACACACAAAGGTTTATGCAGTCTGCAAAGATTCATAATTCTTGATTACAGCTAAATCTACATGCCTGTTCATTAGAAATATATGCACAACCACAATGAGTTTTGTGGTATAAATGTGCTCATTGCATATCCATGAAAATGAGTGGCACAAGTTATCAGATTTTCCAAATACTAAAACCAAGGGTAGGCCACCTTTCCCCTTTAAGGGCTGAGAGACTTCAGCTCCCAGAAGCCTCAGCCATGTTGGCCAATAGTCCCATGTTGGCCAGTAGCTCCTGGGATTCTGGGAGCTGAAGTCCCTCGGCCCTTAAAGGGGAAAGGTTGCCTACCCCTGATTAAAAAAATAGACATGATCAAACAAAAAATGGTGGTTCAATATATGCCAAAGCATATATTGCTTTGCTATATTCATGTATAGCATTCTTCTGCAACCTGGTACCCTCTAAATTCTTTGGACAATAACTCCCATCCTCCTCAGACAGCATAAGCAATGAGAACTATAGTCCAACACATCTGGAAGACACAAGGTTGGAGAAGGCTGTTTTGGAATGATTTTTTAAAAAATTGTAACTGTGTTAGCTATTGTAGCAAAAACGAGAAAGAGGCCACCAACTTGTAACACAATTGTTGTGATAAAGGT